TACAAGCACAAGAAGCACGGGATGGCGGCCATATCAAGGAATTTTCTTCCTTCAGATTGCTGAATTTTATCCTTCCTGCAGGTTTTAAATCTTTGATTTGGGTTTTTCATTTCATCATTTAATGTTTCAGATTTAGGATAAAGTTTACTTTTTTTCCCTTGTTTGTTGGCCATGTAAACCCTATCTTCTGATTTAATACTTGACTTTTTCTTTTGGCAAAATCTAGACTTGACTGCTTTGTTCTTCTGAAAAATGGTATCTTGGAAATGAAGTGGTAACTAACAGTAGGGGACTAGACTGGATTTTCTGATAATTTGATGATGGATGATAATATGGTGATGGATCTGGATTTGAACCAACAACCTTTGGACCCACTTTCTGGTTCTCCTGTAGGATTAGGGTCTTTGTTGAATGATTTAGAAACTGCTCACTCTAGGATTGAGGAGAGAATTAGGCATCTTGAGGCTGTCACTGCTCGAGCTTTGCAGCGCCATAGATGGCGTCAGGCTCGCACTACCCTTGATACTTCTGGTAATGTGGATAGTGAGATGCAAGTTCAGAACAGCGAGAGTGTTTTGGATGTAGCAGAAAGGACTGTGGAGAGGGGATGCAAAAGGGATAGTTCCCATTTGGTAGCAAAGGCATTAGAGATGGATTTAGTGGTTAATAAGGTAGATGATGATGGTGGAAGTTTTTTTGACTGTAATATATGCTTGGATATGGCAAAAGAACCCATCTTGACTTGTTGTGGCCACCTATATTGTTGGCCGTGCTTTTATCAGTTACCTTATGTTGATTCAACTACAAAGGAATGCCCTGTCTGCAAAGGAGAGGTTGCAGATGGAAATGTTACTCCGGTTTATGGTAATGGAGATGGTGAAAGCATCACGGAACTGGAGTCTGGTTTGAAAATACCGCCAAGGCCAAAGGCACGTCGAGTAGAGAGTGTTAGACAGCAGCGTGTGACTCGAGGTTTGTCTCACATCCCGGTTGCAGAAGCACTAAGAAGAATTAGGACTAGTATTGGATTGGGGCATCATCCGCAGCGACAGGATGCTGATGGAGTTAATTTGAATTTTGTGAGAAGCTCTCATGTGTTGCAAAGTGCTAATACCTTAAGCAGCGGAAGACTACGTTCCCGTCTTATTTCGAGGGTGTTGTCAGAAGGCGCAGCTTCTCTTTCATCAGAGTTAGATAATGCACAACGGATGTTTGAGGACCTTGCAGCATCACTCACTGATCGGCTTCTCCAAAGAAGTAACGGAGATGCTGTTCATGGAGCGACAGACGATGGTGATTCTTTCAGAAGAGATGCTGCTTTCATACAGTCAGATAATCGGTCACTGGATGCAGTAGCAGGGTCAAGTTCCTCTACATCTGTTCCTTCCTCTTCTCAAGCAAATGAAGTCTCTGACACTGTTGTTCGGCTGGAAAACCTTACAACTGATACTCGCAATCTGCCTGTAGGTCGATCTTCCTTGGCTTCCAGGAGAAGAAGCATTTTGTCGAGGCTTTCTGATGTAGATAGTGGACTTTTCCGTGAACCTAGAAGGAGAAGATTGAATTGATGGCCTATGAATGAATAAGGTATAGTCTCCCAGTTCTTCTCTCAACTCAATTAAGTCTCCTTGCCAATGGTTATCACTTTCATGTCATCGTGTTTATTGCCAACTCTAAGGCGACTTGGGTAGAAACAATTCCCAAATATAGACAAGAATCAGTGTTGCCCCTGACTCCAGTTGGAAGATTGTATGCATACATGTTTAGCTGCCTCTAGTTTTGGGATTCACTATAATGGTGGAATTTCTTGATATGAGGCTTTCTCAAGAATAAGCAACTGCTGCTGCATGTATTAGGTACTTTGGTTAAGAACCAATATAAATTCTATCTGCTTGTTCTCTAAGTTTGATTAAAGTTCATGATATACAATGAAAATTCACATTTCATAAATGTATTTCTGGTGTTTTACTTTGTTTGGAAGTTGTCGTGCATTTTTAATATTTTTTCATTTATGGTCTTTTCGTTCTTATCAATATCAATTGTGGAGCCTTATGGTGGCGTAGAAAAAGAAGAGAATGTTCAACTTGATAATTCCCTCTAGCTTTGGAGGTTTAAATAGTGTTTTCCGTTGGTCTTAATGAGGAAAAAACATTTATAATAAAATCTTTCTATTTATTCATAATAATATCCATTAAACTAAAGCCATAGTTTCATAAAACTGATGCAATATTTACTAATTTTCACATACTAATAAGTTTCTTACAAATCCTTGTAACTAAACTCAAGTTAGAGTGCCCATATCATATGGTTCTTGCTAATTACAATTATAATCAATTATGGTATGTCGAACAGATTAGATAAGGATATCTACTAGCCAGTCATTGAGTTAGTAAAATTGGTAGCAACGAATCTGACCCAATCGTTTTATGAGTAAAGTGGCTGTATTTGTTTGACTGTTTCGATCTTTCACGACATATGGAATTTGAAGCAAGATGTAGACCAATATCTCTATTACATTTCATTTGCATGCAGAAGCTTTTTTACTATATAAGCTGTGAAAGCTGCTTGATACTCTGCTTCTGCATATGGTTTGACCATCATTTTTTAAAATGATTTGACCGTAACATCTTATTTTCATACTTTACAAAGATATTAGATCAACTCCAATTAAAATGCAATAGCCTAAAGTAATTTATCTTTTAGAAGGAAATTTTGCTCAGTCCGCTCCATAAATCCAAATAATTTATGCATCTTTTGTCCTGAAACAATAAATTTTGTTCCAGAAATTCTTTGATATATCTAAAATTGCAAATCATTGCTTTTCATGATTCTCACAGGTAATTAGAAGGATTGATTAACCACAGTAATAGAAAATGAGATATCAAGTCCTGTGATTATTTGTCGAGAAGCATTCATAATTGTCCGGATAATTAACTGTAAACACTCAACAATTCTGATAAACATTTGCCTCTGCTACAGTTTTTAGGTATTGGGATAGTGGATAAGTTTGTACTAAAAGTGTGTTGAAGGTGATAAACTGTGATAAAAATAATAGATTATAAGTAAGATGAGGAGTGCAAGTGGATTGAGTATATTATCAAAAGGGTAATGGGAAGATTAGCCTCATAAGTTAAGGGCTCAACCGGTGCAGGTGTGATCTTGAAGCAAGCAATAAGTCACTGGGAATAGTCTATAGATCTGTGTCATGAGAGGAAAAATCAATTCGGTTAGCAAGGGAGTAAAGCCGAAGACAAATCAGTTGGGCTAGCAAGTGGAGTAAACTCAAAAGAGGAGTCTTCGGGGTAGGAAGATAACGCAATCAGTTTCCTCGAGGTAGGAAATATGACAGCAGTTTTCTTGTATAGAAAAATACATAAGAAGGAAGTAGTCTTAAGTTAGATTCACCAATGGTGTGGGTGCAAATTAGTATAGAGTAGTCAAAGGTTATTAATTTTTGTGTCTCCAAGATGAAACTTGTGTTGTTGTGCTGGCTAATTTGAGTTTTGTTGTACCTTTGGAGGTTAGCAGGGAAGGATCGTGAGTGATAGTTGATGAAGGTCGCATCATAATTCATATTAGTCTGTTTCTCACACAATAACTAGAGTTGTCAAGTTGTGTCCAGCAAAATTCTAATGGTGGTGTGTGGGCCAACTTGCGGCACTTCTATTATTCTACAGGTACCTTACTTTCATTTCTACTTGCGCTGTTGTGTATAACAACAAAAATTAAAAGGTAGGTATCTGTACATTGGCACATATTCAGAAAAGGACTTCAAGAGATTCTCTAGCTTGACCAGGTGAACTGTTGCGAGAGGTTTAAAGATGATAAGTCCAAATAAATCTCAGCTTTTAACAGTAGAAGCTAGGAATAACTGCTTGTTTTCATACATTGATCCCTCTAATCAGTTGCTCCCGTACAATGTTTATTTCCTTTTTGAATTAAGAGGCACAATTCAAATGTCAATAATGCATTCCTATTATCTAACAAAATGAGAGAGATGGGAGCGTTTTGGACAACTTTTGAAAAGGAAAAAAGGTTCTTGAAAAGATATTTTGAAAAAAAAGTTTGCAAAAGGAAAATATGCTTTAATAGTTGTTGTTTTTCGTAAAATTTGTTAGTCTTTTGCGCGTGGAAGATAAACTTTTCTTTGAGAAGTATCTTCTTTGAGAAAAACTAACAAGCTTGTTTTTAGAATACCTTTTTTTTTTTGGAAGAATTCGAAAATCTTGCTGAGGTAATTGCCACCAAGAAATTTCTGGCAAACATAATCTGGTTATTTTTTATAGCTGACTCCCAGTTGCTTATTAATTCATTGGTTTTTGCTCTTTCCCTTTTCCAATTGCTAGGAACAGGAACTAGGGGTCACTGCAACTTTAGTCTGGAATGTTTATAGGTTTAGGGAAGTTAATGACTAGAATGAATACTCTTACTGAAAGTGCCGTGAATAAGACCTACCCCGTAGGAATTTAACCCGTATTTTCAACATTTATTTTAAGGTAATAATCCGTATCTTCAACATGAAAAGACCATGTATTGATTGTGCTTCTGTTTGATTAAACATTTGTGTCCATGACTTGTATGAAGGATATTACTATATAGTTGAACTACCCATCTGCTCCCATGTCTCAGAAACTATTTTTCATCTCTATGATCACGAGATGAAGTATAATTGACTAACTACATATTTCATGCTCTTTTCCCTGTGACTGAATATTGCCTTCTTTTTTCTCTCTTGATACCTTAATTGGCGTCGATGCTTGTTAGTTGATTGCACCAATTGCGTCAATGAAGGTCAGAGATATACTTTAATTTTGATACAATCTGGGAGCTTATGTCCTACTTTTACGATGCAATTTAAGTCTTTACCTTTTGTAGTAGTCAATTGCGCTACTGTGACAACAGGTGATAACATTCTATTCCTTTGTTCCTGTTTCTTTTTGCCAACTATTGTCTATTGTTGTGGTCTTATTTAGTTATTTCTTTTAAGTTTCTTATATCTTGGTTCGTGGTAATTTATGGACTTAGCCCTTTGTCTGAGAAGAGTGAGTGGGGAATCAAGTTGGTATAAGAACTTAATGTTTTGCAATTGCTGTTTCGCTAGTCTCAACTTGAGTGAAAAATACCAAAGCGGAGCTACATACAACTTAATTTGAAAGGGCGTACTATTCCAACGACGAATTTATGATCTAAAGTTAATAGGTTCAAAATGAGTTTGATATACTTACGTCTACATGTTTTTATATTTTCGGTATATGTATGCATAATTCGAGTCAAAATAGTTAATCCTTCTCTCTCGAATGTATGCCCGGTTTTCGTCGAATCTTTTTGATTACCTTCAAAAACAAAGCGGAATTCCGTATAAATAGTGATGCCCACCACCAGAGCGTAGTAAAACCTTCGGGTAATCATGTTGTACTGTTAGAATATCACGTCACAAGAGTACATGAAATAATCTTGAAAGTGGTCTGCTAAGTAGGGGTGTAAATGATTCGGTTTGGCCAGTTATTTTATAAAATTTATACCATACTAATTTTTCGGTTATTCTATTATGTATAACCAAAATTAGACCTTTCAAAACTGTCACAATCATGTCGGTTTCTCTTTGGTATCGGTACGGTTCGGTTAATTTTCGGTATTTTTTAAAATATCATGTAAAAATCACTAGTAAAAATAGAATGTCATAACATACACATTTTTATAGGACTTAGCAAAACTCTCTAGACAATTTTAATGTTTTAATGGTGTTGAATTAAGAAAACATGAAAGATAACCAGAGTATAGATCCATCAACTACTTTACAGCAGTGTAAAAGAAACTAAGCAAAGACAAAGAAAAGATAAATCACACGAGTAGAAAAATATTAACTAAGGTGGGACTCATGAATAAATTTATAGAAGATTAAATATTCAAAAAGATAAATTTAAATTATATCAAAGGAAACATATTCAATACATTGTAGTTTGCTACTCATAACCGCTAGAATATTTTGTGTCTTGCTAGTGAATATGTTAGAAATAATTTAGTTTCAGTAAGAGTATCATATTAGGTTTGGGAATTAGGATTTTGATTTTAATTACTTGTTGGCTTGTAACAATTTTCAAGGAAAATTTTAATTATTATTTTAAAACTTAACATATATATTTTTTTTCACATGTAAATTTATTTGGTAAGGTTCGGTATTTCCCTAATTATCGGTACCGTTGTAGATTCATATAAGAACTTACGGTTTTATTATAGAAACCGAAAAGTCGGTGCAATACGGTTCGATCGGTTTTCAAATATTCATTGACACCTCTAATGCTAAGTACCCGATATGCTTATTTTAAATTATTGAAGATTTTTTTATTTTTGGCAAGATTAATTACTTTTAAAGGCTCACGTCCTCTTTAATTAGAACTTTCTCCATCCTTTTTTAAATTTTCTCTATTTTTAGTTCTCTTGCCAAACTCTAAAAACCCAATGTCCTAGTCCTTGTCTCGTCGTTTACATGAAGTTCTTTTGTTAGGAAAATGTTTTCTATGTGAGAGAAGTCATTTTCCATGAAAATGTTGGTTTGGCAAACATGTTTCCATGAATCACTAAAAATAATTTGTACTTTGTGTTTGACCAAAAAGTATAACTTTCAGCTAAACAATTATATTTAAGTAATAATGGGTTAAATCTAGTTAAAGATAATAACTTTAGATCCAAATCTAGAAAAAGTGTGGGAGATGGGACAGATCCCGTAAAAGGTTGATGACAATAAGTACAAAATATTCTTAAAGTGTGAGTAATAATGGAGATGTAACTAGCAATAAATAACAATAAATGGCAGTTTGGCGCCGTCTATGGTGATTTTCTAGTTAAGTCTTTTAATTTCTTCTAGATCTACAATCGACACTGGTCACTAACGTAAAAAAAAAAAAAAGAACCTTTTTCTCTCTCCATGCATAGATCTAATATGGCACGTAATAGAGAAGAAAAAATGAGGATAATGAGTG